CATCAGAAAATCACCCAGCAGCTTTCCAAGTACAAGTGTGTGACGTCACGATGCACTTCCAGTTTTCGTCGAGCTTTCTACATCAAAATATACGCAACCGCTTTCATTGTAATTTACAATACTTATTCTTTACATAATATAGAACCTACGTGCATAATTTGTGAGCTTTAGCTGTCATTCTTTTTCTACAGTGCCCATTCAAAAAGAGCTGTTTTCCGTCGATTTCTTGAAGGGCAAGTCTATGAATGTTCTACAGTTGTCGTATGGAATCATAGTCGACTCACGGTCGGTAAATGTTGTCGAAAACCTATATGGATTGTACCGAGTTAAAGACAAGTTGATAATGTTTGTTTATCTTGTAGATAATTGTTTTATTTCCTTAATTTGATAAAACAGACTGAAATGTCTTTAGAGACGATTGACGATGCGCTGATATTGCGCAAATTGTCAAATTACGTAATGACCGATCTACCTTAAAAGTTTGGGTTTTTGTAATAATCTCTTAAGTTTATAATATAGTAATACCAAATTAGTAAAGAGACAAATACTTTGCCCCCCTCCCCCCCCCCAAAAAAAAAAAATATAATAATAATAAAGCATTGAGTGAGAGATGGCCTATCCTCAGTCCTCTACAAATTTTTGGTTTGATTTTGCTGTTAAGCATTATGTAATATTCTATCAAAATTGACAAAATAACCAATTTGTATGTGATTTTCTGCTGTTTGTCTCTACAGGTATGTGTCTGTGTATGTTTATGTTTACTGTGTCTCTGTTGTTGCTTTCACTGTTGCCTTCCCCATTCAAAACATCAATCCCTATAACTGTAAATGGTATTTGTACCACCACTAGTCATAGGCACTGGCTGTACACATGGTTTTAGTCCCGTCCGGTCCATTCCGCCGGCTCCACTGCCAAGTCACCGTTACCGCTTCTCCTCCTAGACTACAAGTTCTTTGTCTGTGTTGTTCTTTGTCTGAAAGGAAATTCAATAAAAACTGATTATGAAACACAGCTGCCTTATTCTTTTTTTTTTTTTTTTTTTTTTTTTTACAGAAGTTAAAATTAATTTATAGATGTGATATATACATTGATCTTCAGAAAATGAGTAGGTACATGGTTGTCTGTATTTTAAAACACTTGACTGGAGGGTTTTCTTTACTTTGGATAGCCATAGCAAAACATTTAAAAAGAAGACTATTACATGTCAAAAAGATGATAAATATACACTTTGTTCTTTTAGTACATTTTTATTTACTGCATTTGAATGTCCTGACTTGAACAAAAGTACCAAGGGTTTTCCTTACAAAGTTAAAACCTACCATATAAACAGCAATATGCAAACTGACTTTTAGTCTTTCTCTTTATCATCTGTAAACTTTCATGCTACATCTCACTGCATTTGTATCAAACCAATAATGGCCTTCCAAAACACTGATTTACAAGACCACAAAATGACCAAAATGAAACCTCAAAGTCAAAAGTGACAGTCCACAAAAATTTAATTAATGACAGCTCAGAAAAAAAAAATAGCTACAATGTGATTTTCACTTTTAAACCTTAGGTAAAATGAGGCTGTACAGTCAATAATAACACATTCCCTGAATTCATTGGACTGTAAAAAAGTCTTCCTTAAACACGTCTTAGTCTTCCTTAAACACAATCCCTGGTCTTAAGTTAACCAAAGCACAACAAACTTGAATAATTTTGTCACAACTGGCCAATGTACTCTTGAGACCTTCACCTTTAATACTTTGGACATTCGTCAAGGGCATAGTGCCTTTCAGGATAGTGTACCGATTCTTTAACAATCCAATAACTCTCTCAATGTGAATTCTCACAGATGCAATTTTCCTTGAGGTCTGCAGTTTACGAGCTGGCGTTTGCTTACAACCAGGTTTTTATGTACAGACACAGATGTGTCTGTACATATTGCCATCACCTGCGTCTGTCGTCGCCGATGGCGATGCCGATGCCGATGCCGTGCACTTTCCTTGTAAACACGATAAGTGGAACACAGTTTTATTTTTTGCTTTTATATTTACAGAGCTGATGAATATTCATAAAACGCAGGTCAAGGTCGAAAATCAGCATGATCGGGCCATTATAGTAGATGTTATGCTGTTTTTTCACTTTTCAGCATATATGCAACCCTGTAAACACATTTTAAGGAAAACCGTTAGGCCAATTGTCATTAAACTCACAGGAGTGGTCAATCTT